CAAATTTCTTTCAACGTGGATTTTGGGATTTAGGGATTTAAACAAAGGTAGAAAAGTTAGTTTCTAATTTCCCCGCTTTCAATGAACCAATCATGATGAATTTTCATGCAACATCTACAACACAACACAACACAAGCAACCGCCATGACATGACTCCAAACCACTAGAAATTTCTAGGAGGATTCAATTTCCTGTTTTCAGTGAAGTTTTAATGTTATTATTAATCAATGTGATACAAGAATGAATTGTTACCACATCTCGTACGGTCATGTGTGAAGGATATCATATCATACCATATCATTTTCATTTTTATTTTCATTTTCATTGATTGATTGATTGATTGATTGATTGATTGATTGATTGATTGATTCATTCATTCATTCATTCATTCATTCATTCATTCACCAAGAAAAGGATTACCACAGAGTACAGAGTAGGTATGTAGTAATAAGCAGGAAACAAGAAATTGCCTTTCTTCCATTCATTCAACTCCCTCGAAATAGAAACTGCCAAGGCTATACGAGCTTGTATTAGTTAAATACGACATTTGATTGTTCTAATGTCGAAGTCACGACTCACACAACACCATGCATGTATTATACCATATATTTCATCATGAGTTGAACTTGCATACCTATAGAATGCAATATGATTTGTCCTTTTCTTGTACCCATTCTATCACTCCACTTCTGAAATCTTAGGTATACCGACAGTTCGTCAGATCCATTCTCCATTGTCATATGTACCTTATTATATCTAGGATACCTCCACTTGTTGATATATCGATACCAAGCCCAAGCATCAAGCGTTCAGAAGTAAGAACGAAGAGTTCAAAGCTCAAGGTCAAGAGTCAAAAGTTAAGAGTCAAATTCAAAGTCAAAGTCAAAGTCAAAGTCAAATTCAAATGGCAAGATCCTACTTTAATTCACAGAGTATTACGTTGATCCGAAAATGAAGCAGCTTATTCTCCCAATTCTCATTAACCGCGGTACATATATACTATTCACATCGCATTAGGATAAAGGTACACCTGAATCACCAAGTTTGAGATGAACAACAAACATTTCCTGCTTCCTGCTTCCTACTTCCGGTTCCCTGCGTGTCTATATGTATTCTAGTAGATTATGCAAAACATGATTAAAAGGATAGAACGAATATGCAAGTACCTAGTCATTCAATCCCTGTGTATAATAATGGTCCCTTTCTTTTTTTTTGAAAGGATAAATGAATGGAGTTTTGACGAGAATGAAAAAGATCTTCAATCTTTATATCTCGTATCTTGTATCTTGTATCTTGAATCTCTAATCTCATGAACATCAACCATCAACCATCATTTACCAGAAATCATCTGACGAGCGGTACTGATAATCCATCCGTACGGTACATCCTTACAATCACTTATCGATAAGCCAACCTAGGTACCTAGTAATAAGTGATGGTAGATTATCTATCGTATATTATCTATAATTACCTTCTCTCTACTACCTACCACTACGTACCACTACCTCCCTTGGCTCCGAGATACCCAGCTCCCTTGTTACTTAGTACTCTCACCAGCTCCATCTATCTGCAAAGCGGAGGCACAATCACACAACCCACGATAATACTCTGTCTGTACATTGTACAATTGAATGCGAGCGACAACACATCTCTGCACAACTTGAATAGTAAAGTGGGAAGGGGTAAGTGAAAAGTGGTAAGTGAAAAGTGGTAAGTGAAAAGTGGGAAATAACACATGATTTATGTAAGTCGTCTGGTCTCGGTCGTACATCTCTACAAATGTATCCTCAATTCTTCAATCCAAGATTAAGTAAGTCTGCCCATATACATATACATATATATATCGGTATTCAATTCGCTATCCTAGGTATTTCACATGCATATGTCACTTACCACGCTATCCTATCATCTGTTCTTGTCCTACGACATCAGATTGATCTAGGTAGTTTTGCTTATAATATCTCTCATCAATCATTTGAGTGGTGAGAAGAAGAAGCTACTAGGTATGTCATTATATACATGTAAATACCTCATTTTTATCCCTCAATTCTTTGGACTCTCTACCTAGATATCTTCATATCTATTCCATCTACCTCATATTCTTCGATCTCTTCACATGAAGCTCACAGAATTCCTCAATTTCACATGCGAAACTCATCTACACACACACATACAAATGCCAATGATAGCATTGTCTCATCTATAAAAGTGAGTGATCATGCCATCCCTTTCCGTCGCGCAAACAGTCTTATCCTGTAAGACCTTTGAGACTTTCCCACGCGACTCTTTGTGTGTGTGATGTTTTACCCTTATTTACTTAGTTCTTACTTGAATCCCGATTTTTCCCCTATTCACCATCATGTCATTTCATCGCAGCTTTCTAATCTTGACGTTCAGACAATATCCAATAATCCTTCTAACCACGATACACCTTTTATGACAACACAAATCTTCCATATTATTAGCTAGCTAGCAAGCAGGAGAAGTAGCTATCTGCGAGTAGATCAAAAGAAACCTCGTCCCAAAAATGTCCAACGAACGCCTCACGTTCCCAACCTATCTTCTCCCCTCCTTCTCATTCCCCTTTCGTCGTCGCACATCCTCTCCTCCTAGCACAAAAACCGCATCGCTCAATACAAGTACAAGCGCAAACCCTTTGGTTCCAGGATTAAGCTATTCGTCTACGAGTAGCTGTAATGAAACTCCACTCGCATCACCTACATCGGGGAGTTTTCTCTCGCGCGTTCCAACTACTTCCACCCACAAGAGTGAGAGTTGGAGTGATATTGAGAATGAGAACGAGAGTCATGATGTAACCTACGCTCCCACCTCTCCTCCTCGCACTAAATTTCTCCCTCAACCTCATCTTTCCCGTCCCTTTCCCTCTACAATTCGCTGTCTCACCTGCTCCACCCACATCTCCTACTCCTCGCAAATCATCTCCAAAGGCTTTACCGGTCGCCACGGCCGCGCCTATCTCGTTGCTCCGCCTCCCTCTTCCCCGGTTCCTCAAATCCCCCCCTTTCCACCCACCGCTCACGATCGCTCTAGAAATATCTCCAACGTCCGCGTCGGTCGTCCTTCAAATCGAGAATTGTTAACAGGTCATCATGTTGTCGCAGATGTAAACTGCGCGGTGTGTAATACGCTATTAGGGTGGAAATATGTGGATGCGCGGGAGGCGGGCCAGAGATATAAAATTGGAAAGTTTATTTTGGAAACGAAGAGGGTGGGTGTTGTGGAGACGTTTGAGGATGAGGATGTGCGGACTCATTCGCTTGATTTTCGGAGGGAGGATGATAATAGTTCGGGATTTATGGGGGTGGGGATGGGAAATCCTGGCAAATTTGAAGGTGCGAGAAAAGATGGAGAATTACATACGTGGAATGTGGAAACGAAAGAAGAGGAGGAAGCGAAGGGATGGGTGAATTTTGATTCGGAAAATGAAGATGAATGTGAGGAACTTTTTGCGGGAATTTGGGATGCTGAGGTAGCGCAGAAAAGAAGAATTAGGAGGATTGATCGGAGGAGGAAGGAGGTGGAGAGGGAGAGGTTGGCGAGTAAGGATAGTGGGGTGGGGGGATTGTAGGGGATGGGGACTACGGAAAGAGCAGGTGGTGGTGGTGGTGGTAATATATAATTGGAATGATTATGGAAATGGAAGGAGTTGGTATGAGATGCGATGCGATGAGATGAGATGTGATGTGAAGGGGTTTATGACTACTCTACGATTTATGACGGAAAGAAAGACGGATGGATGGATGGCGGAAGGCATTGTGACGCAAAATTTCTGGCTGCTTGATCTCATTTGGTCTAATGTGTATTGATGTGTCTCTTGAGGGTTTCCTCGCTTTTTCCTCTCTCTCCTGTGGGTTTGGAATTATGTACCTAGTAGGTACTTCGTTAACCTACCTACCTACCTACCTACCTGTAATTTGAGGGTTGGTGGGATGAATGGGATGGGATGAGTGGGACGGGTAGGAGTTTATTGAAGATTTGGATTGGGATGGGGATATGGTATTGTATAGTGTGGTATATATGTATGATATGATATAATATCGTATAGCACAGCATATAGCTTCTCTTATATGGGGAGATATTTACTTGCTTGTTTATTCTATGTATATATCTCTATATGCATATTAACATTATATATATCCCTTTCTATCTAGGTACTTAAAATCTGCTTAATTAATCTTTCGATTTGTTATCTATTTAGATATGTAATATAGTGATTGATATGATAATTGATATTGTATTTTCTCGCTTTAAGATTTGAGATTTGAGATTTGAGATTTGAGATTTGAGATTTGAGATTTGAGATTTGAGATTTGAGATTTATAAGATCTTGATAACTATGGTGTTTAATATATTATATTGTACAATGTTATATAATATGGAGAGAGAGATAGAGAAAGATATATAATTGAATACACATACATATACACATATACACATACATATACACATATACATATATATATATCCATATCCACACACACATATCAAACCCCTCAAAACTAACCACACCACCCCCATTTCAATAACTTACAACCCTATGAATAATCAAATACATGCTAGGTAGGTACCGGATAGCTACTCGGTCATATAGCTAAGCTATTCAGTCATAGAACCTTGAATTTTGTAAGGAAAGAGAAAAGAGAAAAGAGAAAAGAGAAAAGAAATAAATCAGGATGTAGTGATTTAGTTTAGAAAAAGAAAAAGGTGAGAAATGGCGGGATATAGTGGGAAACAGCGGATATATTGTAGATGGGAAAGATGGGAAAGATGGGAAGAGTTTTGCTGTGATGGTATGGGGAGGATGTTAGGGGGGGGTAGTTAAGGTAGGTAAATGGGTTTTTGATGTTGGAGTTGGAGTTGGAGTTGGAGTTGGAGTTGGAGCTGGAGTTGGAGTTGGAGGAGGGATGGGATGGAATGGGATGGAATGGGATGGGATGAGAAGATGTATGTAAATTGCTGGAATGATAGTTGCGGTTAGTATGTTTTCGGATGAGGGATTATGGGTAGGTGAGAAGGTGGATGTATGGGGTTTATGGGTAAAGAATATATCTGTGTTTTGTGTATTGAGAGTTAGAGATATACAATGATTTGGATGTATATATATGGTGTTTTGGAGAATTGAGGTTAGATATCTATCTATATGTGTGATGGAATATTGAGAAGATTATGGTTTAGTCGAGGGAAATTAGATGGATGGATATTGGATACTAGGTACGCAGGTGTTTTAAGTTGATTTCCTGATTAGGTGTTGTGATAATTTCAGGTGTGATTGAATTTGAGTTTGGAAGGTTTGAAGAGGAGTCTGGGGTACTTAGGGGTAGAGGAGGGCTAGGTAAGTGGTGTGGGTAGGTATACAGTTGATATAGGGGTGAGCAAGAGTATCCATGAATGGCTGATTGAAAATTCATCATGTACTAGATGTGTTTTACTTTGGGAAATTTGATTGATGATGTCATATAGGTACACACATTTAGCATTTATATTCTGCTAAGAAAATTAGTTCGTGGAATAGCGGTAGGGCAAGAATATTCAATATAAGAATATCTAGCAAGCAGACATTCATCCCATTGTTCAATCCTCAACTTAGGTAGATGTCCTGCATTTACCTATGCAAAAACCCTCTCTAACATGAAATATTCAAAGACTTCCTTCTTAAGTTCCATCAAACGAACATAACTATACTAAAAGTTCCCACAAGTTCAATAGATGTCCCTGAAAGCCATATCACGTACTAGATACTTAGGTAGTAAAAGACATTCATCCCAAACCCCCATCAGCTATTCAAGTGAAGTGCTCCCACCACTCGAACGACTAAGCAAACCAAAACAGCAAACCAAAACCTACAAACCACACCCTCGAGCATCTTAGTGTCTCGGCGTCCTAAGTGGGATTAGCTCCCACAAATTTAATTTTGGGAAATGGGGTACTGGGTAGTGCTTCTTGTTTAGCTTTGTCTTGTTATTCTTTCCTTGGGTTTGTTTCTACAACTTCAACTTCTTTGACTTTAACACAACGATCTTTCAACAAGTTGCCATAGTTTCTGGTTGCCCATAACACAATGATATTGTTTTTCAACTTGTGAATTGAATCAATAGATGATTCTTCTTGAAGGATTGTAAGTTCTGTTTCCCTTCTTCTACGTCCCTTTCAACTATCTTTTGGACCTTGAGTCGCAGTCGCCATCAACTCTAACTCTCAACTTTGAGACCTGAGTCTGCGCTACAGCCAGATCAATTTACTTTCACTGCATTAATAGGTCGCACTTGTATCTCTTCGCAGTACTCTTTAATTGATCTTGATGGTACGAAACTGACGCTGATTAAATAGAAACAAACTTCTTACCCAGTCACCTCGAGCTGATCACTTGATCAGCAAGATCGGAGAAGTGTTGTGAGAGTCTTGATACAGGTGAGGCATTAATCAAGTATCTATAAGCTTGCTTGGCTAACTTCGAAGTTGCTGCTAGATCAATCCCTCAACGCCTGGACTTCTGAACACCAAATCTGCAAAGATCGAGAACGCAGATTTTACTCTGGCTTTCGCTTTTTCTTGAATGATTCCTGTGGTCTCTGACTTACGTCGCTTGGTGACAAGCTCGTCGCGGTTGTTGCTGACGATACCATAGCGTCAAGAGAAGAAGTAAGTAAAAACTACCTCTTTCTATCTCTGAGATTTACTAACTCAAACAATAGGGACCATCATGATGTGGCCTTTACACAGGTAGAGTTGTAAGTTAAATACAAGCTCGTGTCTACAGCCTTCCATTGCCTGCAAGCTTTTTCTAACACCATTTCACCATCAAAGAAATTTGAGTTTTGGCACAAGCACTCCGAGTGACCGAGAACCTACAACGAGAGATATTACTACGTTGAGGATTCAGCGGTACATAACTGATTCCGACAATTGTCTCTCATTACTAACATAAATTCAGTATTGCGAACGGGGTACAGCCAGTGCGGCATACATAACCGCGGAGCTCCTCCGGCTTTCTCGGTCGGCAAAGGGCTTGGCGGATTGGATGGCGCGATCGATGAGAGGAGCCGATATGAACTCGGCACTCCATGCTTTGGCTAGAGGAAGCGTGGGTGTCCCCCGTGCTGATAACTTTTTTTCATTGGAGCACGCTGACTCTTACTTATGTCGTTAGAAACAAGACAACATTGATCGACGGCTTCAATCGCTTTCCGATCAGACGAAATGTACCACCGATCACTGTCATACTCGCCCCGGTGCGGCTCATCGCTGGCTCTGATACACAGGTGGTAACGCCGGGGTAAATTATTGAAGGAGAGTTAGGTGAGAGCTTCTTCATGGTATGTATTCAAATCTTGGTGCGAATTGTATGCACTTTACTAATCTTTTGACAGGGATTGGGCATTGAACAATACTGAACAACACGTCTAAGAGACAATTCTCGGCGCGAGTGATAATATCGGAATGGATAGGTTGAAAAGTTTAGTAATTTGTTTAATACAATGGTAACAAATCTTACTTTTAGGTTTCTCACTGATTGCCGTGATCGGGGAACTGATCCTTGTTCCTGGTATGTGAATTGTGAAATGCATTGCATGTCCATCGCCTCAAGGTCAACGATCGAACTCTTCAATAGTTGTGATCGTAAGGGATAATGCTAAATCTGTGTGCGTGGTGCTGGTGGTAGTATTCACAACAAGATTCGGAGAATGTAAGTTTTGTTTTTACTCAATTTCTTGCGTTACAAACCACTAACAATTCATCAGACACATACTTGCCATCCTCACCTGGGCAATCCTTGACCACTTCATACAGGGGTCACTCCCAAGACTTCGTCACAACCTCCACGCCTGTCTACTCACCAGGGCATATCGGCTACTTGCCTGATAATGACCAGTACAGAGTACTTGGACCACGCGTCCAAGACTTTTGAAGGCCTGTAAGGGTGCTGTTTCTGCTATGGATGGGTTGGGTTGGCATCTATAAACCAATGTTCCAGCTCAACCCATCCAAGTACCATGGCACCAAGAAGGGTGGTCGGGTGAATCCTGACATTGACATATGGTTGTCTTCCTTCGACCAAGTGATTAGTAAGTTTCTTCTCTCTTTCTTTTGTGTCTGGTGTGTGAAGCTGATTTTGGATAGGATGGAATAGAACACCATTTCGATGAAGAGGAAATCAAAGAGATCGGAAATATGAATAGTCTCCTCGAAGCAATCGATGGATAAACGGATTCCGTTGACGACGATGTAACAGTTTTAGAATATCTCAGAACTGCATTGAATTTTCTGCACAGCATTGTCTGTCTCTCGATACTCACAGCTCATCTGTAAGTTTCCAGTTCCAAGTTCATTATCATGGTCTTTTTTATACGGATATATGCTCACGAAATGGTAGTCGGATCCATCACTTTAAACTTCCTCTACCGTCCTTTATTGATTGAGAGACCACTTCAGTGGCAATCTCTCTTGGTCTCGGTCATTGAAAGAGTCTTCTAGATTTTCTCGGAAGACCGGTCTACTCTCAGAGTGTACTGTCCCACCCATTCTTCCGACATCAAGATCATTCGATGATGCACCCTTCTCGTGGCGACACAATGTATGTGCCAAGACCTCGAATTTTCATCACACATCTCTCTTGCTGATTGGTATTAACATATTTACAGCTCGGCATGACAATGGAGAAAAGTGACGAAGAGGCTATATCGCCAAATCTAGCCTATAGAGAGAATGAGAAGACGGGAGGTTTCTTTCGACTTTTTAAGAGAGGTTCGCGGACCTTTCACATCTCTACTAGGAATAGACGTCACGTCCTGGGGGATGAAACAATCGTGGTGGAAATCTGGCATTACTGCTGCTGCAGATATTGTATATAAACCGTCATAGGAAATGAAATGAGGTTTCCCGTAGCCGCTTCAGCGTGCGTCTCCATATGATTTGAGTGATAGTTATCGTGTGGGGAAATTGGAACGGGTTTCTTTTGGTAGCGGTAAGTTTCTTTCTCGCTTTTATTAATTGGATGGTTGCTAATTCTCTTTGCACGTAGACAGTGGTATCTGTGGTGATAAGGTTTCGTCCTGGGATATCCGAATGGACTAACACGGTGTTGAGAGGTAAATCATCATTTCATGTCCTGGATTTCGAACTCGTGCTAATGAAAACTATCAGCACCACTCCGATACCTGGTTTCATAACGCGGGATCTCAGTCACGATCTACCAGCTTTCCCCATCAACCGACTTTTTCTTTCATGATAATTGGTCCTGTACATCATGCCGAAGAATTTCAAGATCTACGTTCCTCCCACAACCAAATCGCATGTTTCAGCTCTTCCCGGCTAATTATCAATAAAGTCAGGGAGCAGTCCACGGCTAAGATTTGTTAAACCGGTTCTTCTGGGGCTAAAAGCAACACTACTATCCTGCTTTTCTGGGAGGAACATCAGCAAGACCCAGCCATTAGCATTGCTTCTGTTTCGAGCTGCTGGGGTGCGTAGCCGAGTACTACCCCTCGACTTTATTGGGGCTCTCAAGTTCTGTGGAGAGGTCCTCAAAGATCCACCACATTCGCCTGCCAGTCTAGGTATTTCAAGGCAACTTCCAAGCCGTTGATCGAGTTGTCCAGAAGGAACATTTGAAAGCATCCAAATTCTCGGGGTGAAGAGCCACCACCATTCCACTTCATTGGTGTGGTGGAGAGATTCCCCAGAATTCGCAATATTTGCTTTCCTATACAAGAGTTTCACGACAATTTTCAAGTCATTGCCCTAGTTGTCCAGAAAAAACATTTGAAAGCTTCCATATTCCCGGGTGTGCAAATTCAAGCATGACCCCTCGATTCTGGGTGTCACGAGTCCCAATGCAAGAATTTCACGACAATTTTCAGCCCGGTGACATTGACCAAATGGTCCAGAAGGAACATTTGAATGCCCTCTAACGGGTGCGAGACCAGACCGCCCCCACTTGATTATGGGCTCTCGCACCCCATCGATCCACCCACAATCGAAACCGATCATCCTCCCAAAACGTCCCCAGCCTACATCGCCGCCACCTCCCTGAATTCCAAGCGCCGCGGTTTCCGCCTTTCATGGACAGCACCAATCCATGAGCCCAACTTCATTGGTTTGGGTGTTGGTGGTGTGGCCTTCACCATCCAAAGCTAGTTCCTATGACGATTGTAGTCGGTAATACGGAATTTGGAGCTGTTCCTTATGGATGTCCCATAGAGGGTATTGGAGCTGGTGCGTGTATTGTCAACAGACAGGAGTGCATGGATTGGAAGAACAATTCTGAGGGGGAATTTGAAGAGCAGATACTGTTGGAATCCTCCAAGATTCACCATGTCTACTTTCCGGTTCGGAAATCTCACGATAATTCCCAAACTGCTAAGATTGTCCAGAAGGAACATTTGAATGCCTCAACAGTTTTCTGGTTTCCTGGCGACTTGCTGCCAGGAAACAAGATGAAAGACTAGCAATGGAGCGGCGTTTGGCAGAGCCGCATCTAGTACGACGCTCTCTACCAATCAGACGGAGCATTGTATTTTCTTTTAGCAACCTGAAATCCAATTGCTGGATTGTCCAGAAGAAACATTTGAATGCCTCACTCAGCAACTGCTCGGCCCTATTTCTCTGCGCCCGGAGCTATGGGCAGAGAAATACTGGCGTCAACCCGTCAGCAACCCTCAACCAACCTCTCGATGACCACGCAGGAGGGGGGAAGGAAAAGGAAGTACAAGTCAAAGAAAGACTGGGTGGAGGTACAAAATCGTAAGTTCTTGCCAATAAATAGCCTTCTTATCTTCATCGCTGATTCTATGTGATATATAAATCTTCGCAATTGTCCAGAAGGAACATTTGAATGCTTCAATAGTTTTCCGCCTTCCTGGCGACTTGCGGCAAGGAAACAAGACGAAAGACTGGCATTGGAGCGGTGTTTGGCAGAACCGCTCTTGGTGCGACGCTCTCTGCCCAGTAGCAACAAATGGAGCATTGGATTTTTTAGCAACTTGACATCCGATTGCTGGACTTTTCGAAATCATCTTTTTTTGTGTGCTGTTTTGGGCGCTTGATATCTGAGGGGGTTTCAAATTGGTCTGAGATTGGGCGAGGTCTTGCATCATTTGTTGGTGGCTGCATGGGATTGGGAAGGCAAGGATAGAGGGGTTGAAGATGGAGAAGGTACAAAGATTGACGGAGTTTTGAGATTATGATCATATCTATTATTGTGTTGTAGTACCTTTACTTTGTGTAGCAATATATTTTGTTCCCTCTAGCCGCTCCGGCGTGGCTTATTGTTGTGATACTGCGAGGTGTGTATTTCTCATGTACTAATCTTGCCTGATTTCTTTTTTAATATAGCTGACAAATACCAGGGAAAGGAGAGTGATGAGCTCTTGGACGCAGCAATACCATCAAGCTAAGCTTGAAGGTTGAAATGACGCTCGAACAGGAATGCTCCTCGGAGTAACCAGGGAATGTGCTGGATATTTTATGCAGATATCGGCGGGTGCTCATTTCTTTTGAGGTAAATGCATTTGGCGGTAGATCTCACGCTAGTAGATTTTGACTAATGATAATCAGAACAGCCTCGAATACACACGGCGAGATCCATGTCTTGAGATGGGACAATTATCCCGAGCCTTCGGACGAAATGTCAGTATCTTAGACCATGATCTCGGTCTGGGGATGATCTCAACATCATCTGTCCGGACTTCGACAGAGTTCAAGAGAAGTGTCTCTTCGCTCGTTCCAGTATTCCTCAAAAACAAAGCAAAAAGAAGAAGGCAAGGGATTTGGGACTTTGTCTTCCTGGCTTTGGAAATTGGGAAGGGAATCCTCTCCTCTCCCATCCCAGAACCTCGGCGAAGGTAAATATGATGATGCGGCAGGAGGAAAACTTCCCTGACAGGGTCCTTGCTTCGTTCAATTATTGCAACTAGTCTCGCGGCTCTGCCTTATTAGGCATCCGCAAACACCAATCATCTGAGGCGCGATTCTTGATCTCCCTTCCCAACTTCAGTCGCAGGCGCGATTATATCAGATCTGCACAACTTTCATGAGAAAGTGTCAGGGCTTACTCAAAATTCTGTCCGTGGACATCTAAGCTTAGGGGAGGAACTGTCCGAGAGAATCGACCGGTAAATCCGGCCAATTCTTCTCACATTGGAGTGAAAGAATTTCGACGTACCGAGATTTGTGTAAGTTGGAGTTCACTGAAATAGTCGCCGAGGGAAGGTGATAGAGCTTTACATGGCCACTTTTGGGAATGGAGAGCGAGATAACCAGTCAGCATTGAAGCACACTGGACATGAAGAGGCGGGGCTACCTACTCCAAAAGCTGTCATCAAGATAGCTAGATAGCGAACATATTGGGAACTGGAACCAGTGTGGCTGGTACACCACATAAGCTTCCTCTATGAAAAGGCAACCGTCAATTTTCCGCGCGCTATATTGGCATGACATTTCCAACAATATCGACTCCCGATACTACCTTGTCGCCCCCACGGTCTCATCTATGACACCCAAGCAATCTGTGAATATTCTTCATTGATCCCCGGAGACACAAAATCACCCAAACTTCGCTCGTCCCTTGCTACAACATCCCACATTGAGCGTGGACCTACTTCCTTCCTTTTCTGCGGAAGAAGAGCTTAGCGAAGCCGAAAAACGCATTCAAAAGGCAAGCATCCCCGAAATTGTTGACAAGCTCGAGTTCTGTTCGAGTGCTTTAGCTGCAACTCCAGATCTTGCTGGCTTGCTTTACGTCTACGACGGGCAAGGTAACAGGGGACGTTCAATGATAACGACGCTGAGCAGCAGGTTATTCGTATCAGAATGATCAAGCAAAGTGATTCGGGGTACGGTTCTTGCTACAAGACTTACCGGTAAGGTAACAAGGGACGTTCATGCTACGCATCCTTGGCCCAAGGGCCCGAGTTTTTGTTTGGCCGACGAGACGAGAAGACAAAGCTCGCAACCTCAAGGTAAGTTTCCTATTCCACCATTCATCTGGTCCAAGCACTCATTATAATTCTAGGTTGCCAAATGAAGTTTACTCGGCTATCCTCACGATAGGAGGGCTGCGGCAAGGAGAAAAATTCTGGGAGACAATCGCCCATTCTCCGCCTGATACTTCAGGTCATGATTCTTCGGAATGCACCGAATGGTTCTTTGACAAGTCTAGTTTTATAGCCTCCAGACGAAATGTAGCCAAAGGGTACAACGCGAGGAGAGCAGCCGTTGACCAATGGATGTTGTTACTCGCTCCTGTTGCGATGTATATAAGAGCATGACCCCAACCATGCAGAAAATGAGTTTGAAGCTTGGAAGTAGTATCATTTGCCAGATTTTTGGAGATCATATTCCGTCGTCCAGTATTGGTTCCACATCGTAATTTTTATTCTTTCCGAAAGAAGACGCTGGAAGGATCAAGAACGGGAGTCTGTGGAGTGTTGAAGCGTTGATATTTTTGATTATTCCTGGTGATAAGAAAGAAGTAGTGAAGCCAAGTTTAACGTCAATAAATTTCAAATAGCAAAATAAAGCCCCTTTCCAACAGGCGCATTTTGGCACGCAATTTCGGAGTTCGACGTGACAGAACATAGTGGTGAATTTGAGACATGTCGTGATATAAATCCGGGAAATATTTTGTGCACTCAGATATAGAGCCGACGTATGACAGACATGGTGTTTTAAGCAAAATCACAACATTTGTCTGATACTATGAGATTGAGGAACAAACAGAATTAGAATTGGTAGAAAGGATGGAATGCGGGTCCAAAGATGATAGCTGAGAGGAATGAGGAGATATATGTCCTTAGCGAGACTGGGAGAGCTGGTTAGGATTGATCCTGAGATTTTGCAACCATTCTCTTGGTGTGAGGATGGTAATATCTCAAGTGAAAGCTATGAATTTGTTCGTAGATTGGTGAGGTTTCATCGGCGGTGGGTGGTGGTAGACGGAAGTTGGCGAGACTGGGGAGTACCTAGGAATAGGTATCGCTTTTTGTGATCTTATCAGGAAGTGTAGTTGGTTAGATAGTGTTGCTTCGGATGAAATGTTGTGCAGAAGTTGGTGTTTGCTATTCCGCAAAAGCAGCCTACTCCATATTTTGGATTACTCTTCTATAGAGAAGGGGAGTTGCAGCTTGTAGATAAGTAGGTCTTTTGTAAGACTAGCCTTGCTTCCGGCTTGACGAAATAATAGTATCTCTCAAGAGACTCGATGATCAATTCTTACCATGGAAGGTAGAGAGCCGTTGAGGAGCGTCATTCTCGTCAGTCTCGTAGAACCGTATTCAGGAACTATCGTCATGGAAGAAAAGCAAACGTGGAACAATGAACATCAACGTGTCAGAGCTTGAGCTGACTTCCCCTGGAATTCTCTTTCCAGGTAATCTATATAAAGGACCTGCCTTCATCGACAGTAGACATGGAACATTGAGTGGAACTCTTGAATGAAGCAGAGGCAGAAATAAACGCTGATTTATATGATCTTGATACATACTCCGATAGAATGCGGTATGTTAAACTCTGCTGAATAAATGTGCATCTTGAATGTATTTAAATAAGACGACGCCAAATAATAAAGAATGTTGATATAACTAATCAAACGAAATACTTTGTCTGTGGTGTATCTCTGGGTTATATTTACTATCTCATTGCCAAATATATCTTTGGAAGAAGGGTCTTGTTATTCAAAAATGCATATGGTGATGAACGTTTTTAACTCATCCATAATATGATATCGTTCATTCACAGCTGCTGAAAACTCTCAAGGAGAAATGAATCATTCATTCTCTCTCATCCACACTTACCCATTCCATCAATTCATATTGTGAATGCCGAAACCGAGGATGTGAAGTTGAGGGCCGTGCGGTACTTATCTTGATCACGTGCCCACAAGTCCTATCAGTGCGATATTTTGATCCGCAGTAAGCCGTATTCATACTAGCGTCTTACACTACTGTGCCTTCCGATAATTAAGCGTTCAGGCTTACTATTAACAGTACAACAAAGAGTTTAAAGAGTTTGTCAACTTCGCCCCGAGAGTCTCTTCTTTCTAATACATCTCCATCTTCATCAACGTTCTTTTCAACATCAACACAACCACAAATTCACGTCTTTACGATCAGGTTTTCGCATCAAAAGAATTTGTACAATTGGAAAGATATTTACACGGTCGGGAAAGAACTTAAGGCAAAGGAAAACAATTGATTTGGAGGGAAAAGAAAAAGAATTGATACAAAGAAGAGAGAAAGAAGAGTGGATCATCTTGGTGGTGCAAAATTGTGTTTGGTCTTGTGGAGGAAAGCGGCAGTTTTCAAAGAAAGAAAGAAACATCACAATAGCAGTATTATCTGCAATCTTGTACAATCATTTCCTTTTGAGAGAGCTTTTTCTGTGTCACCAGAGTTATCTCCAGTGATCGCAATCATACTTGATTTCACTTCATTTTCTTGAACGGAGAGAAGAATCTTGATATTGCACCGGTCGCATTCACGAAATATCCCTTCTACCCTTCCATATTCTATCATATTAACTTATTCCCAAGTGTTTACTTGATCTTATTGAGTGCATTGGAAGAGTAGTTTGTTTCTCTGTACACGCGAACGAAATCGATTTATTCAACTCGAGGATCAACAACTTCCTTTACAACTCCAACTTTTGATCAACTTAACCAACAGCAGTCATGACGTCCTCAGTGTTCTTCAAGTTCAGATCCCAAAAGGAACCCTCTAGAGTTGAATTTGATGGTACTGGTATCTCCGTATTTGAACTCAAGCGTGATATCATTATCAAGAGTGGATTAGGTGACGGAACCGATTTCGATCTTCAAATTTACAATGAAGCAGACAACGAAGGTAAGCATTTTTTATAAGACAAACTAGATATTGATTCTGATGCTGACCATTATAGAATATGATGACGATACTACCGTTATTCCACGATCAACTTCGATCATCGCTCGTCGACTCCCCTCTATCAAGCCGGGAGCAGGTAGAGCTGCAAGATACATGTCGGGACAAATGCCGATTAAACAAAAGAATTCGTCGCGAAAAGAACAAGGGAAACAGGCAAATGCAAAGGCCGTTGCGTCTACACAAGGGTTGGCACAAATGAATAGTGCAATGACTGAGGAGGAGAAAATGGAAGCTATGTTCCAGGCCCAAAGTGATCAATGGACGGCACAACAAGAAGATATGGCCAAGTAAGCTGATAATTCTTTTCCAACCCAGTAATCTATTCTAACAAATTTGTAGTCAAACCCCAGTCTTCCGACCAGGTGGTAAGAAAGGTCAACCCCCACCAAACGTTCCAGATCATGAACCACCAACTGGTTATATCTGTTATCGATGTGGAGAGAAAGGACATTGGATTCAGGTCTGCCCTACGAATGATGATCCAAACTTCGATAACAAGGCTCGGATTAAGCGTACAACTGGTATTCCAAGATCTTTTTTGAAGACTGTAGAGAAACCAGTTCAGTTGACCAATGATGGTACGGTGGATGATACAAAGACCCCATCTGGTGTGATGGTAAATGCTGAAGGAGAATTTGTCGTTGCTGAGCCTGATAAAGCTTCATGGGAACAATTTCAGGCTAAGACCAAGTCATCTGCTGCTGCCCAGAAAGCTGCTGCTTTAGGAGATAAAGTTTTGAGAGATAGAGGATTGGAATGCGCGCTCGACATGAGAATATTCATAGATCCAATGAAGACGCCCTGTTGTGAGAAGACGTATTGCAATGACTGCATTACTAATGCTCTTATCGAAAGCGATTTCACATGCCCAGGATGTCAGACTGATGGAGTATTGATTGATGATCTGAAGCCTGATGATGAGATGACCGAAAAGATCAAGACTTATTTGGCAGAGAAAGATGCAGCCGCTAAGAAAGAAAAAGAAGACCAAAGAGCTAAAAGTCCTAGCGTGAAGTCTGAGGCTACCAAGACGCCCCCCCAATCTAAAGCTTCAATAATCGCAGGAAAAGCGAAATCGCCAATACCAAAGCAATCACCTAAATCAAAGTCACCAGAAGTCTCAAAGGTCTTGAAAAATAGCCCCAAGCAAGGAAAATCAGTTACCCCAGTTGTTAGTGTTCCTGGCGCTCCGTCAGGACCTCAAGGTAAAAAGCGACCTGCAGATGAACTACTCGAGAATCCAAAAATTCCCAAAGGACCAAAAGCTATGCGTCAAAAAGAATCTGCCATGAACCCACAACAAAACTTGATGAACGGAATGAACGGCATGAATGGTATGAACGGGTTTCCGAACATGAACAATATGCAACAACAATTCTACGGGAACGCAAATGGTTTCAACAACGGCATGCCAAACATGAACATGATGAACCAATTCGGTATGGGAGGTATGAATCCAATGATGGGCATGAATCCTATGATGGGAATGAATTTCCCGGGTATGAACAATATGCCTATGTTCAACAACGCAAACGCATTTGGAAATATGAATCCCATGATGAATGGAAATATGCCACAGATGAATGGAATGGGTAGAGGAATGAATGTACCAAATGGTGCAGCAGCTGGATTTCCTAACCAACAAAAGACTGTTTTTGCGGAACCTTTACCAAACGAAGAAGATAATGCATATTTCAGAAAACCAGTCAATCCTCATAGACATGTGGGAAGACAGAGGAGGGCGAGACCGAGTGATTACCGGGAGCTTTAAAGGATGTTTGTGATATCAGAACTGGTTTCCCTCGATATCATCGGTTTCAAAAAGACATCAAGGGGCTCTTGGTTCAAATCAAAAATAGCTGCTGGAGTTTTGATACAACATCTTGATACCAGCACATTGGTTTTTCCACAAAACCAATTCTTTTCAGAATTTGGCTGCTATTTTATCTTGCTTCAGATTGCCAACCACTCAACTCGACATATTCAACATCAATCAACATGGTCACAAGGCTTTGCATCACAGCGCAGGAGTATTTTTTCACATTACGCTTTCTTTCTTTCTACTTTTTTTCTCTTCTTTGACTCTTTACTCTCTTCTCTTTTAAATTATACGCACGAAACGAAATAAACTAGAAACAAACGGATATGGTGGGCGTGGCATTGGGAGGCACATTGCGGCTTACATGTAGTTTGCTTGCTACAGGCAGAAACAGGCTTTTTTGGTGTTAAGGATTTTACTTTGGGTTATGTACCATTGGAATTGGGATTGGGATTTGCGATTTGCAATTAGGATTGCAGTCTGGGTTGGCATGGATATCGTTGCATTTGCACCTGCATTTGAGGATAGGGGAAGGGAGGCATTTTCATGA